CGCACCGTACGGTGCCCGGTTGACCCGCGTTGCAGCATTCTGGTCGGCCCCGTTCCGAACGCCAGCGCCCAGAACGTCGAGATGCGTTAGCCCTGACCGCCGGGCGACAGTCCTCCTTGTGCTGCGACTTGAAGGTTTTGCCCACCACGAAGCCCTTCGCGGCGAAGGCTCCGCACTTCTTCGGGCAGCTAAACACCACCTCCAGCTCCCCCACGATGCCCTTACCACCCGCCCCCGCGGCGGCCGTGGGGTGGGCTTTTTCCCCTTGTGAACGATCGCTTCGGCGGTCTATCTGAGCGAGACAACAGAACAAGCAACGCGAGAGGCGGGAAGGCGATCACTTTGGCACACGTTGTTCAATATTTTTTGTTCCCGTCAGGCTTGTTTTCTTGCTTCTGCGAACCTGGGAGAGTATCCCGTGTTTCTCGGAGGCGTTCGCGTCCACACGTATACGTTCAGTATTTTCCTGGTAGTCATTCGATTGAGACCCTTGTTGATTGCGGCCACGTGGTGCCGTTCTCTAGGTTTGCGAAATGTGTAGGAATACGGGATATTATTGGAATCGCTGAAGGAATGTAGTCTATGGGGAAAAATTGGGACACCAGTGTTGTACTTGCCCAAGAACAGAGGATTTTCGAAAAAAATGCATGCCGGTAATATTCTTGTCGCTCAGAAAATGTTGGATGATTGCCTCATGCCCCGGTGCGCTGTGTTACGTCAACGAGGATGGGCGATTTCGATGTTTAGTGTCTGTTTGAATAACAGACGCTAGTATTGCAGCCGCATGGTAGTTGTTTGGACCAACTCCTCAGGATAGTCTGTACGCTGTTGCTTACCAAGAAATGGGATAGATGGATAGGCCGTTGTTGGAAACAGGGTTATGACCTCGGTACTTCATGCAGGAAGAATATGATAAAACGCCGTCCACGTTTGTAGACAGACGTAGATTTCGAGCGTGGACGCTGGTGCAACTGGTAAATTATGCATGTCTTGATCTTGCTCTAGTATCGCAGCCGTGACAGTGTCTGATTGAACGGTGAATGTTGGTGGGGGGGTTTGATCCGGAGGCCGGGTTTCTGTTCACATCCGGCGTGTGCATGCCCACCAGATGCCCACTATTGGTTAGTTACTTGCGTAAAGAACCAGGGAGGGTGTTCGTGTGTGCATGAACGGATGAGGATATTCCAACGGGACTGTAGGAATTGATCGTGTAGTCCGCTGGATTGTTTTTTTTATGGTTGATCGACAGGGCTCGGCACTGTGGGAGTGTGGGAGTGCTTGCTGCTTTGCGGCACTCTCTCTCCCCCGCTCCTTAATGCAAGTGATACAAGCATCTTCAACACACCTACAAGGGCATACTAACAGGACCTTCCATGGAGCGTCTGTTTGGGGTACTTGCGTGCATGATCCGATCTGGAGAGACTATGCGTGTGAGGGGTATATGCTATATCGAGGGTCCAAGTGCGGGGCCCCTCGGGAGAGAGCCTTGGAGAGGGCATGCGTTCGGTCTATGTTGTGTGCTCTGTGTCTGCAAGATATACTGTATATGTTGGTGCGGGAAGGAGCATTGTGTGTGATCATCAAGGTTCGTATCATCTGCATCGGTCCTCTGGGTTAATATTGTCCCTAGACTCTATATAGACTAGTCCCCACAGACAGAAGTTTACCGTGGGTGGGCACGGCGGTGTATCCTCCGTGGGTGGTCACGCAGAGGCATACTAACAGCTTCCCATGGGAGGAATCGCATAAGGATGATGTATGTACATGACTGCATGCAGTTTCTCGGTTCGACTTTTCGTTGGGCACGATTCAGGTGTTTGGGGTTACTTATCTACATAGCATTGTTGTACACATTGTACATGCAGTATTTTCTATTTTTATTTTTTTGTTTTTCGTCCCATCAATGGCTCCGCCTGCTTACTCCTCTTCGGTGCACACTACACGTTTGCCGCGAATGTGCACTTCTCAGCGTACTGTTAAGGAGGACCCGATTCGCAGGGTATCCGTCGATTGACTTTTACCAGAATCGGTACACCTTCGCAGTACTTGGTACACTGCAACTAGCTAGACGCGCACCGTCCGGGGTCACACAAGAGGGGATACCCACGCCGGTTTTTTTTCATGTTAACTTCTTTTGTCCCCCACCTATACCTCCTGCGGTGCCTGCCTGAGATATTTTTATCGCGAGAAGGGTTTTTATATTACTTACGTGGATGTCGACGATGCCTATGTATCTATGTGTCATCCGGCAGAGAGAGAGGCAGCGCCTATACTATACATATTCAACGCCGCAACACATGTTCATGTCCCGTGTGCATTCGAGTCTGTATAGGGCGAGATCCAGGTCATCCACTCCAAGAACTTTGCCCACAAATCAAGTACTCTGTGTGTGAGACCTTTTTACTGCTGCTGCACACATCAGTCTTTACAGCAGTATGAAGTATAGACGCAACGAAGAGGGAGAGAAAACGAAAATTTCTCCGGCGAGGAGGCCTATAGAACCGGAGAATATCTCTCCCATGCCTACCGCGTTAGGACCCACGGGGTGGAGTAACTGTGTCGAACATAAGGGAGATTACGACACCTAGCTTCAGAATCCGCCGTTTTTCAGCTCGCTCACCCGTTGTCGAACATCTTCTGCAACGGAAACATACACTTTATGAGGACTAGCAACTGCCCACACACATCCGCCTATGATCTCGTGGCCTAATGGATAAGGTGTCTGTTTCCGACGCAGAAGATTCGGGGTTCGAATCCCCGCGAGATTGTTTTGTCTTTTTTCCTCACAAACAACCCTTTTCTTTTTACATTTTTTTTCGCTTTTCAATCTACTTCTTTCGTCCATACACACATATACTATATGCATACATACATAGAACGATGATGAACTTAATAAATACAGTGTTTGGCGGCGGTGTGTTTCATTTGTTTTATTGTATGAGACAACAACAAGTACTTCAACAACGTGTCATGATCATCCTCAGATCATCAGCCTGCCTCCTTTGCGTGTGCTTCTTGATTCTTCAAGGAGACAACGAACGAGATGTACATAGCAGTCGATAAACAACACAACGTGTGGATGAGTGGTTGTTGATCATAATCAGACCTCCTCCTCTCGATCCCCTCCCCCATTTCTGCCTTTCATGTGCCTTTTATTCATTCACCTTTTGTTAGTCTCGCCTTTTTTTTCCACACCTTTTTTTTCGCGTGCATTTTTTGTGATTCTTCTTGAACGAGACAACGCACGACAGCTAACAACTAGGACTGTGGCGATGTATATGTATACAGCAGTATGTAGTATGCTTTAATCTCAACGTGCGTGCGTGGTGATTGAAGACCATCAACAGATAGATAGATCTCTCGAGCGATCCCCTCCCCCATTCTTTGTCTGCTATATTTATTTTTGGCTGCTGCTGCTGCCTTTTATTCGCCTTTCTTTTGTTATAGTTCGCCTCTCGTTGTTCGCCTCTACAGCAGTTATTATTATTCTAGTGCAACACTCCTTTTTCACCTACTACAACGTACAGATACATGCCTCGTGCTTCAAATAAGTAAATAGTCTTAACAGACAACGACAACAGACGGACGAAAGATAAATAAATAAATGTATGTATGTATTTTTTGCGTTTTTTCAGCTTCAAAGCAACATGCAGGTCTATTATGTACTATGTTGGTTTGGGGTATCGGTGCGTGTACTATGTTATCACGCTCGCGGGCTCTTGTCGAGAGCGTGTTGCACAAAGGAGTGACTCAAGTTCCTTGATTATTAGAGAGTGACAGACGTGAGCAAGAAGAGGCAATGCCTGCTGCACCAACTCTGTCTATCATACCCACATCATCTATCTATCTCATCTGTGTACCCCCGTCGGAGATCTCGGAGACTTTGTATCCTGCCGAGTACACACACAAACAGCCCCTCTACTCGGTACGAGATACGATCTACGAGATCCTCCGTACATACCGCCAGGTGAAACGGCAACAAATCTAAAAAACATTCATCTTTCGTATCCACTATGGAATTTCACTAAGAGTCTTAACAAGCACCCCTCTCAAGAAAATGTCGTCACCACATTCATTCTCAAGCAGTCAAGAACAGAGAATACTACTTGGAAAAATACTCAGCAAAGATCAACATTACATCAGAGCCATGTCATAAAGACTCTGGACGGACAACTCTGGCAAAACGCGGCAACATTACTTCGAACAAGATCCTCGGAAAAACCGTGTTTCAACTCATTGACCAATTTCAAATAAACTTCGGAAGTACATAGTATAGGCCTCAACCATGTCTTACCAAAACTATGCCAAATCCTTCCTCCAATACATCCTTCAGAACAGCCATCAATACCAAAACATGCGGCACAAATAGACAAAGGTTAAAAACCCGGCGTTCGAAGACGCCAGAGGAAACTTTCACCAATTATGTCGTTTCTCGAACATCGAGACATGGATTTCTTAACAGCCCCCCTGCTGCAGTATCTCCAAAACATAAAAGCTTAACAGCCCTCCTGCTGCATCATCTCCCAAAACACAAAACTAACAGCCCCCCTGCTGCATCATCTCCCAAAACACAAAAGCTTAACAGCCCCTCTTCAACACATCTCCGGCCATGGGAACTCAATCCGTCCTACAGCAATATATTCTCTCGGATCCTAACAACGAGAAATCAAACGAATATCATGAAGTTATCTCCGAACTCCGCAGGGAAAACGCGGAATCGCGAATAAACAAGAAATATTTCTTATCCTAGCAACGAGGAATCAGACAAGTATCATGAAGTTGCCTCAAACTCCGCAGGTAAACGCGGAATCGCAAACAAACAAGAATTAAGGACTTCTCCTCATTTTCCGCAGGTAAAACGCGGAAAACTTGAACAAAATGAACAATCAAACCCGAACGTCCGCTAGAACTCTGCTTGTACTGCGGCGAAGATCATGGCATCTCAGCATCACATTCATCCCCCCCCATGATTTTCGACAGCAGTGCTAGCAGTGACCCAACACTATCAACTGCACCATTCGGCGCGGTGAAGTCCTAGACTATGCAAACCATATCCTTAACAAATGCAGAACACAATGTACCACAGACCA